CCCTCAGGCTGGCTGTGGCCCACTTGGCATCTCCCAGGCCCCGGCCGTCTCCCTGCTTAGTACCTTCCGTGTCTCTCCATCACTTACAGAAGTCAGTCCAGCAGTTGTTGGACTGCAGTGGCCCAAGGAATCCCTGGGGAGCATGTTAAACTAGGAACTCACACCCCGCGCCCAGGTTGTTCGGGAGCCGGGCCCTCCTGGAGAGCCTGCTCGGCACCCCGCGGAGTGGAGCCTGCAGAGGCAGGGCGGCTAGAGACCGGTCGGTGGCCCAGCTGCAGAGGGGAGAGTGTGGCTACTCATCCCGTCCCTGGCAGGTGCCCAGAGCTGTCCTGGGTTCCTTCACCCACGCGGTTGGTCCAGTCTCACTTAGCCTCTGTGCCCCCCATGGCCCCCGTGGGTAGAGCTGCTTCTGGCAGGGCCTTGGCCTTGCACAGCCTCTCCTTACCATCCCCCTCCCCAGCTCACCCTGCGGCACTATCCCTTCTGCTCTTTCCACCCAGCTCCTCTTGACACTCCAGATCCCCATTCACCCCTTGAAACAGGCTCTCAAGGAATTCTTTGTATCTGTCAGATTTTTTCCAGAAAGACAGGATCAATTACGTGTGAGTGTGTGTGTGTGTGTGTGTGTGTGTGTGTAAGTAAAGACATTTATTTTAAGGAATTGGCTCATAGGATGGTAGAGGCTGGCAGGCCTAAAATCTGGAGGGCAGTCCTGCAGGCTAGAAATTCAAGCAAGAGTTGGTGTTGCAACCCTGAGTCCGATGTCTGCAGGGCAGGCCAGCTGGCACGGACCCAGGCAGAATTCCTCTTCTGCGAAGCCACAGGTTCTGCTCTTCAGGCCTCCAGCTGATTAGATGAGGCCCATCCACAGTACTGAGGCTGGTTTGCTTTACTTACAGCTGATTGCAGATGTTAAGTAGATATACAGGTAGCAACCTGTGAGGATTTTTTTAAGTATACTTATTTTGAGAGTGGGGGAGAGGGGCAGAGAGAGAGAGGAGTCAGAATCCCAAGCTGGCTCCACGCCATCAGCACAGAGCTCGATGAAGGGCTCGAACTCACAAACCATGAAATCATGACCTGAGCCAAGATCAAAAGTCGACGCCCCAACCTGAGAGGTTGTTTAGCCTGGGTGTGGTGCTATTGTTTAATTTAACACCAAAACACTGTTGACATTGGGGCTGGATAATTCTGTTAAGCCATCCTGTGTGCTGTAGGGTGTTCACCAGCACCCCTGGCCTCCACCCACTAGATTCCGTTAGCAACACTCCTCTGCCTGGCCGTGACGACCAAAAATGTCTCCAGACATTGCCAAGTGCCCTCTGAGAGCCACCATTGCCCCCAGGTGAGAATGCCCTGGCTTAGAGGCTAAGAACCCAGACTCCAGAGCCCGCACTATAACTTACTAGCCAAGTGACTCTGAGTAAGTTCTGTAACCTCCCGGTGCCTCAGTTTCCTCATCTTAAATGGGGCCATAACAGCACCCACCTCCTTGGCATGTTGAGGGTTTCAGGAGCTGCTGCCCATGGTTAACTATCTCCATTCAGGGTCTGAGGAGCGCTTCCTGCTGAGTGTTCTGAGGCTCTGCCCGGCCTTTGCTCTCTCATCAGGAGCATCCCTCTCTCTCCCCACGAAGGCCTCAGGGGCTGTGTTTTCTCTGTCTCAGGGCTTGGGCTGCAACTTGAGGATGGAGAGGGTGCTGCCAGGCAGGACGTGCCAGCGAGAAGGGAGGAGGACCGAGAGCCGGCTGGGGGTATGACCAGGCCTGAGCGGCCCCTGGAAAGAGGAGGACCCCGGCGGGGTGAGAAGCCGTACATGTGCCCCGAGTGTGGCAAAGGCTTCAGTAAGACGTCCCACTTGACCAAGCACCAGCGCACACACACCGGGGAGCGGCCCTACAAGTGTCAGGTGTGCGGGAAGGGCTTCAGTGACCGCTCCAACTTCAGCACGCACCAGCGGGTGCACACGGGCGAGAAGCCCTATGCGTGCGCCGAGTGCGGGAAGCGCTTCAGCCAGAGCTCCAGCCTGGTCATCCACCGCAGGACGCACACTGGCGAGCGGCCCTACGCCTGTGCCGAGTGTGGGAAGCGCTTCAGCAACAGCTCCCACTTCAGCGCGCACCGGAGGACGCACGTGGCTGAGAAGCCCTTCGTGTGCCCGGCCTGTGGCAGGGGCTTCCGCCGGGGCACCGACCTCCACAAACACCAGCGGACCCACAGCGGAGAGCAGCACCCCCCGGGCCAGCGGAGCCCCACAGCACAGCTCCAGGAGGCCCCTGGGCCGAAGCCTGGCCACCACTTGTTGAACTGTCCATTTCCAGGTTCCCGTTCAGAATTTCAAGGTCACAGTTCATGAAGCTGCTGGAGTTGTTTCTGTCTCGGAACCAAAACCCTAATCTTAAGGCATTTCACATCGATCCCATTTGCCCCATGTGTGGGCCCAGCCCGTGGCAGTGGGACATTTCAGGTGCTCAGGCCGAGGGAGGAATCTGGACACAGAGTTAGGCAGTGGCGGCTGACACCAACCTAGGTGTACCTGGGGCCTGGGGCTGCTCTACAAATGGCCACAACCTGGGTGGCTGAGTACCACAGGGAGGGACTGTCACAGTTCAGGAGGCCAGAAGTCCAAAACCAAGACGTTGCAAGCCTGCTTCCTTCTGGAGGCCCTGACAGAACGACCACCCAGGCCTCTCTCCTGGCTTCTGCTGTTGCCGCCGTTCCTGACGTCCTTAGCTTGTGGCCACACCACTCCCATATCTGTTTCTCCTGTGTCTCTGGTGTCCTCTTCTCTTGTAAGGGCACAGTCATTCAATTTAGGGCCCCCAGTCCAGAATGACCATATCTTAACTAATTATACCTGCAAAGACCCTGTTTCCAAATAAGGGCACGTTCTGAGGTTCTGCGTGGACATGAAGTTCGGGGACACTCATCAGTCAGCTTTGGAGATTCCCATTTTCCCTCCCGTTCCTTGCAGTGTTAACATACCCCAGCCTTCCCTGGTCTCCCCCCTTTCCCCTCCAGCCTTGCCACATTTTCAAAATATAGCCTCTGGGGACCTTTTCCGTATCCCAGTGGTGTAAGCAGGGCAGTTGGGGGGATTTGGGGGTCACCTTCCTAGATCCATGGCTGTTGTAAAGGATGGGTGACTGGTGTGGGAACACTTCCCTGATAGCCCATCTTCTGGCCTCCCCAGGTCTGTGAGGAAGCCTGTGGAGATGGCTGGCATCTGTCCCCAGGGCAGGAGCCAGGGCCGCCTTTGCCCCAGCCCCAAATGGCCAGGACAGAGGCAGCCTTGGTTGCCCCACTTTGTCTTTCTGAGGTGAACATGCCTCTGATCTGTGCACATCCACTTGCTAAGGGGTGGCCGAGGGGAACGGTACAGAGTACTTGTTCCGTTTAGTCATCAGGAGTCTTGGGGCATCTGCTGAAACCACTGGGTTCCAGAACATTCCATGCAAGGAGTGTGGCAGTTTCCCATGGCTGGGTGGCCTTGGACCTCATGCTGTGCTCCATTCTGTTTGTCACCCAATCACTGTATATATTTTCGCCTTTCAGCATAACCCAGGTTCCAGGGTGCATGAACTGCTCTCTCTTCCCTTAATAAACAAAGTCGGTCCTTCTGGCCTGGTGTGCTCTGCCCTGTGTGTCCTGTAGAGAAGGGGTCCACTGGGTTTAAGCATGGTGTTTACCTTGCAGGCCAGCTTCCAGAGCGCCCGAGCAGTGGTGCTGCCAATCACCTACCTTCCCTACATGGCTGCAAGTCTGCAGGCTCTCTTCATCATATCCAGGCTGGTGCTGGAGGTGGCCGCCTGCTTCCTGGCCTAGGACCTAGGCTCGTTAGTGCCTGTTCCAGAACATTCCCTCATGCAGTCCTAGGACATTTAGCTTTTGTGACTCTCCTTTTGCAGATGGGAAACTGAGGCCCTGAGTGCTTTCCGCACCTTGTTCCGGTCGCTGAACTGGCTCTGAACTCAGGTCTGAACTCCTCATCCTCTTGACTTGCCTTACTGGTGGTTTACTGAGTTGAACTTGGAAGTTATTTTCTGTCACTGTTTGTGAAGCATCCCAAATTTCTGGCATTTAAAAGGGATGGAAATGGGGGAAGAGGCTTGCCGTTGACAGGCTGCATGGGTGGAGGTGTGTCACATTTAGATTGCCTTGCTTGAGCCCTGACCACATTGCATGTGTCCTGGAGCAGAGGGTGAGGGGTCTCCGTGGATGCGAGAAGACCCGGGAGTCCAGGTGACACAGCCTGGCCACCCTTCCTGCAGGTAGGCCCACTTGGTGCCTCCTTTGGTCTTGGGGGAAGCTGTCTTGTACCTGGCCCCTTGTCATTGGGCCACATCAAGGGGGGCCTGTGGCCCCGATGTTGGCTGCCTGTGGCTGAGGCCAGGCAGAGCCTGCCTTGCCTGGGGCAGGGCTTGATGGAAAGAGACCCTTGGCTACCCCCAGCGCATGCAGCAAGTGGTGACTTGCTAGAATGCTAGAATACATTCTCAAATGCCAAGGACCCTGCCCAGCTGCTAAGCCCATGATATGAGGGGACTCGAGGTGACTGCTGTTCCCAGGGAGAAGGGCAGAGACTGAGAATCCTAGAAACAAGTTGGCTGAAGAACAGAGGTGCCACAGCTCTGTTGGGACCCGCAGAGCTGAGAACTGGACAAAAGGACTGAATACTGCTTGCAAAGTAACGGGGAAGGGCGTCACCCACAAGGTGGGGCCCTGCCCTGTTCCGTGGGGAGTTTGGGTGTTAGGACATTCAGTACTCTATCTCCCTGGAAAGGTCAGCCTCACCCATAGTCAGGAAGGAACCTAGAACATGTGTGCCTTTGTATCTTGGTTAAAGAAAAAAACAGTTCAGTCTTCATCCCTTTATCAAAAAGTCCACTTGGTCGGTGGGGGTGGGGAGAGCGTGTGGTGTATTAACGTAGGCACATAGAATAGCAAGTATCCAGGGACACAGAATATCAGGCCAAATTATCTTCCAAGACCGTTTCAACCTTGAAATTCTCTAAATATATTTTACTGAAGCTTTAGTTTTAAAAAGGACCTTGTGTGATGGAAACAACAGATGCCAGTAAAGCGAAAACTGCAGGAGCGGTGAACTTGCCGGACAGCCCCACCGTCAGTGTCTCCTTCCAGGCGCTTTTCAGAGGAGTTGTCACGCTCTGTGTACAAATTTTAGCATTTTTGCTCTACAGGCACCCCATTTTAACAGAGGTCTGGGTGACAGACCCCCAGTCTGAGGATCCCTGGGCGACATAAGCACATTCTCGTGGAAGCACGGGAGAGCCAGCAGGCCACCAGGGCCCAGGCATGTCGATGGACAGTCAGAATCATCCCGCCAAGCTCCTCCTCAGAAGGTCCTGGAGGCAGCTACACCTGGCCCAGTGGAGGCACCCAGGCCTCCCTGGCTGTCCCTGCCCCACGACGGTCCCCCAGTGCCCTGGGGCTTGCGCCTGGGGGTCTGGTCTGGGTGCTCTGCTCCTCAGCCTGGGGTGTCACATGCGGCTTCCTCCCAGTTCCGGAGCTGGCTGTATCTTCAAGGACCTGAGACTTCTGGCCACCGGGACCCTCAGTGGCCGGCAGATTGGGCTGAGCCGTCCCCTTCCGAAATTCCCTGAGCTGCTGGAGAAGCTGACTCTTCCCAGTACAGTCCCTGTGACATAAGACAAGCAACTTCAACACCAAGTGGAGCCAGGCCTCCCACCCCCACCCCCCAACATGAAGAGGCCAGAGTGCTTCCAGAAGCGTGTTCACTGGTTTGCAAGACAGTAAGTGAGATTTTGGCCTCTCAGCCCTTCCTTCCTGGGTCAAAGGCATGTCAGCATGTTAAAGCCTCTGGGAGGAAACCTATGTGACACTTCTCAACTCCAATTTTTCATCTTTTTTCCCATTTGCCTAATGATGTTCCATTTTAGGGGGGAAGCTGCATTTGACTCTGACATTCCCAATGGGTAGGATCCACAGGCTTTGCAATTCCAAAAACAGTAGATACAACATAGATGTCTAAGTGGCCCAACGACCACCATGTGGGGCCTCTGCATCCTGGAGAGCAGAACCTTCTCTGAGTCGCACTTCTTAATTCACCCTGGCCTTTCCTTTCTAGCTAACAGCCATCACTGTATTCCATCCTGACAACTTCGCTTCCAATGCTATCAGTAGTAGGGACCAGATCAATTTGGGGAGCGATTTTTCAGAAGGAAAGTAATCCCTTCTCAGGAGTGAACTAAGGGGTCTTTGGTGGTGTCAGGAGGACAGGAGTCCAGGCTGGGCCCCAAGGGGACTCCCACGGGCCACCTCCCAGACCACCCCCACATCCACACGTGCTGGCCCCGTGAGGTGCAAGACAAAGCTGAAAGCACACACGTTAAGATGTGCCAGGCTGAGGGCTTGCTGTGGAAAGCAGAGATAGACCATGCCCAGACGGCGGGAACGCCGTGGTGGTTACCTTAGCCCCCGGGAGGAATGGTGCTCCCGCTCTGCTGCTCCTTGCTGGTCTCCGAGAGCCCCGGTCTCTTCCTCCTCCTCGCTGTCAGAGGAGCTGGAGCTGGGGGTGATGAAACCTGGCTTCATGGGTTGTATCCCACACCACCGGGCCTCCCTACTGACCCAAGGCCACTGAGCTTTCCTGCCAGGTGGTGGAGGGACACACCCCGAAGCGATGTACCAAACCCTAGACTGTTTGCTCTAAGCTCCTGGGAGCCTGGGTCCTGCCCTCCCTGCAGAGAGAGTCTGCTGATGGGACCAAGTGGAACCGTCAGCCCGGCTCAGCTCCTGGCTACAAGGACTTCTCCACAGGGCACTGCTCTGGGACTAGCCCACACGGGCACCGTCCCACCTGTCAGAGCCGCCACTCCTCCTGAGGGCAACGTGGCTACTGCAAAACAGGGCTGTCACTATTCCCAGTACCTTTCTGAAGACCCGAGGTTCGATGGCTCCGTGGGCCGCAGATCGATGAAGATGGTAGGAGGCTCTGCTGGGCGCCGTAGCTGCAGGCTCTAAGCCAGTGACTGGCCCAGCTCAGCCTGGCAGCCCGGCTCCATGGGAGCAGTTCTGAGGTGAGAGAGCAGGGCTTTCTGGGTCACTTCTGGGTGATGATGGTGTGCTCTGTGCTGGGCTCAGGTCTGCCCCCCAGCTGGATGCCCACCGTGTGCAGGGCACTTAGCTAGGCCCCGTAAGTGCACTTGTTCTTTTGTTCTTCAGAACAACCCCCAAGATTTGGCCAACACTGTCCAATAGAACCATCCATGGTGACTGACCTACTCAGTATCTGTGCTTTGCCATGTGGTCGCTACTGACCAGAAGTAGCTACTTAAGTTTACATGTTAGCTAACTAAAATCAAATTAAAAAAATAAAATTAAAGGAATCATTTCCTCATTTGTACCAGCCATGTTTCAAAGGTTCAGTAGCCACATGTGGCCAGTGGCCATCAATTGGACAGTGCAGGTCTAAATATTTCCACTGGACACTGGGTTGCTAGGAACGGAAGCCCACCGCTCAGGTGAAAAGCGGGATTCAGTGGGTCTCAGATTCCTAAAAAGAGTGGAACCACCGAAGTGTGGGAAGCTAGGCTTTAAAGGATCTCGGTGCCCTGCCCCCACCTCTGCCCTTCCAGCTTCAGTCTTTCTCACTACATCTGGCCTTTCTCTGCCCTCCCGCCCCCATCCCCCCACCCGGACACACTGGGACTGGGAATTCTCAGGGAAAGCTCTGATTGGCCTGGCTTGGGTCACATGCCAGTGCTGGCCTAACTGGCCAGATGGGCAGGTCCTTGTCTGGGGAAGCCGTGTGGATGATGGAGGGAGGATTCCTATAGAGTATGCAGAGTAGGTGCTTTGGGGCTTGAGTCCCAGCCCTGCCATGTATGGACTAGACTGGTCAACCTCTGAGCCGCAGATTCCCCACCTATAAAATGGGAATAGCAGCACCTACCTGATCAGATTCTTGAGATGAAATGCACAATATACATCAAGTGCCCACCCAGAGTAGGCCTAATAAATGCTGCAAGGCCATGGGCCAGTTCCACAGGGAGGACAGGGCTGTGGCTGGCGAGAAGTCCCACCTGCTGCTGGTCTCCTGCTGCTTGGTGTCCTGGGGTGCGTCAGCAGGCGCCTTCCAGGCAGAAGGGGCTCTGGACTGTGTGGCACACAGGAGGGTGAGCTGTTCCATGAGCCTGTCCTGGGTGTTCAGCAGGGTGTGGTCTGATGGGACAGCGAGGAGACTGCTTAGTGGGGGCACCGACCCTGTTTGACTTACAGCAGCCTGAGCCTCAGGACCCCTTGGAATCCCTTATGCAGACACACCTTGCCTTGGACACGTCCTCTGCCACTCAGCCCTGTATGAGGACCCCACCTCCAGGTCAGCAGGTCCAGGGGAGTGGGATGTACGCAAGCCCCGTAAAGGAGGAGTGACCTGTTAACAGTTTACCTCACTCCCCAGTCCCACGTGTCAGAGGGAACCATACTTTACAATTCTGTGTTCACTTTAAAAAAAAAATTGGCAACAGGATTATCCTCTGTAGATGTTTTTTCACTCAATAGATTGTCTTTCCATGTTAATATACATAGATTCCCTTCCTTGAGCTTTAGTGCATTCTGTGCTGTAACTGCTTTAGTTTGTGAGACTCCCACAGGGTACTGAATATGGGTCATTTCCAAATTTTCACAATTATAAACAATATTGCAACAAATATCCTTGAATACACACCCTTACCCACTGGGGTATTTAGGATAGACTTTAGCAGTGGAATAAGTGGATCAAAGGCTTAAGTGCCTTTAAAATAGAGAATGGATTCTGCCAAATTGCCCTCCAAAATGGGTGTGTGGATTGCAGCCCCTAGCTCACAGGAGAGAGGGTTTCTCCACATCCTGCTTGTTAAATTACATACAAACAAACAACAAAAAAAAACCTGGTTGAAACAGCACTGGGGGCTCAGTCACAGAGGGAGTTTGCTCTGGAACTGGAAGCCGGAACCCCCACACCTCCTTGCTCCTTTGTCTCACACTAGCCTCCACTCACCTTTGTGGCCCAGGATGGATGGAGAGGGAAGGGGAGCTTTCCTTTTATTTACAGAACTTCCCAGAGCAAGTCCTCAAGTGCAATGGCAGTAATCACATCCCCGGCTTTCTTGGTAAATGGGTAGATGAATGGAAGCAGGGTTGTGCTTAGGAGCTGGCTGAAGCAGCACAAAACGCAGATTGCTTTGCTCTCAGAAAGAGAGAGAGGAAGGCCCGAGGAAGAGGGCAGGAGGGAAAGGTGTGGGTCAAGGGTAGGAACCATGTCTGAAGCCTGCCCCCCTGCTATCTCCAGAGCTTCATATGTATAATGAATGAGTGAATGAATGAGGGAATGGCTGAAGTTTCCATGGACTGGCACGTGACCTGTGTGTTTGGGACCATGAGGGCTGAGCAGCAGAGAGGACATGGTGGGCTGCCAGGCTGACCCTATTTTATATGAGAGGCCCTGGAAAGAGCTGCTTATAGGGATGCACTTGGGCTCTGGTGTTCAAGGTCAGACCTCGGCCCAGGTGGTCAGCTGCCCACCACGTGGCTCCGGGTGCGCGATCTCCCCTGTCATCTTCTTGCCTTGCCAGTCTTTGAAGGATGTGATCCAAATCCCACTCTTCAAGTTGCTGAAATAATTAAAGCAGTGATTAAAAGGCAGCCACAGGGTCCCGGCAGCGGGAGTGCCTACTTCCACAGCTGCCGTGACCAACAGAGGCCATTGTGAGTTGCCACGGGTTAGAAATGAGGGATTCGGGGGTGCCTGGGTGGCTTAGTCGGTTAAGCGTCCGACTTTCGCTTAGGTCATGATCTCGCGGTTCGTGGGTTCGAGCCCCGTGTCGGGCTCCGTGCTGACTGCCAGCTCAGAGCCTGGAGCCAATTTCAGAGTCTGTATCTCTCTCTCTCTCTCTGACCCTCCCCTGCTCACGCTGTCTCTCTCTCTCTCTCTCCTAGAAATAAATAAAAAGTATTAAAAAAAAAAAAAAGAAATGAGGGATTGGGTGCCTGCCCACACTGGCACGGGCTCCCTCGCTCACCCACACCTCCAGATGATGGATGGGGCCATTGTCCCTTGCCTTCTCCTTCCTATGCCTTTTTTATTTTATTTTTATTTTTATTTATTTATTTTTTTAAATATTTTTATTCTAGGAGAGAGAGAGAGAGAGAGACAGCATGAGCAGGGGAGGGTCAGAGAGAGGGGGAGTGACAGACTCTGAAATACGCTCCACGCTCCGAGCTGGCAGTTAACACAGAGCCCGACGCGGGGCTCGAACCCACAAACCGCGAGATCATGACCTAAGCGAAAGTCGGACGCTTAACCGACTAAGCCACCCAGGCACCCCCTTCCTATGCCTCTTTTAGGCAACACTTTTGTTTTTGGCACAAAGACCCTGTTTTAACTGGAAACCCAGTGTTGTCTTAAAACTCTAGGTTCATACAAGTTTAAAGTGTTGGGAAGTTAAAACGTGTTGCTCTTTCAAGGAACAGATTGTTCTGGGCAGGTGTTCCCACTCGAGGACTTGAAAGAGAGCGCCGGGGGCGTGTGGGCATGATGAGCGGAGGGAGGAAGTTAATTGGGAATTGGTGTTCCTCGAGGCCCTAGAGGGAGTGAAAACAGAAGTGTTTTGGGGCCAGTAGAATGGAAAGAATGGCTTTCCACAACTGATGAGAATGGAATTAGTAAAACTGACCTCCATGTACAACCTGATACTGCTTTTCTCTACGTTGTTAAGAAAATTATCAAAATTTGTAAGTGAGGCAAAAGAGAATTGCATGATGTTTAAATGTCATGCTGGAGCTTTTCTGACAAGCCCACCTTTCTGGGGACAGTAATTTGGTTTGCACAGTTGACCAGGGACCACCTATTTTACAACTCTGTAAACTGAGAACAGGTGCAGTGGGGTTCTTCTATCTGACAGAGGTGATAACCCCAAAAGTAAAAATTTTTTTGTTGCTTTTGTTAGGATGTTGACCAATTTTGTACTTAATGTAGTCATTTCATCTCAGCACTCCTCTCTTTCCCCCAGTGTTTTACAAAATCATCATCTCTTTGAACTCCCATCCTGCCGGTTCCCTCCTGAATGAGCTAAATACAAGGTTAACAGGTGCTCACGATCTGCATGAAAGCAAGGGCTTTAAGATTGTGGAATTATGCTTCAACAAAGTGTTCTATATGTTATATGTGGTTGTCTGTCTTTATAAACATGCTTTGGATTAGTATTCTTTTCTTTCTTTCTTTTTTGTTTTTTTAAAGAAGGATGGAGTGTCTTTGCTCTTCCTTGTTCTAGTTAACTCTACCTAAGGATGGTCTGTCTGCCGGGACCACACACCCACTGAGGCAGGCATAACTGCCGACTGGGGGACCCGGGACCATGGGCCTAGGGGCTTAAGGTCATTGCTGCAGACTGAATGTGTCCCTCAAAACTCCACACGTTGAAATCCTAACCCCCCCAGATGGTGTTTGGAGGTGGGGCCATTGGGAGGTGATTAGGTCATGAAGGTAGAGCTCTTATTAAAAAGGCCCCAGAGAGGGGCGCCTGGGTGGCTTAGTTGGTTAAGCGTCCGACTTTTGCTTAGGTCATGATCTCGCGGTTCGTGGGTTCGAGCCCCACGTCGGGCTCTGTGCTGACTGCCAGCTCAGAGCCTGGAGCCTATTTCCGTCTGTGACTCCCTCTCTCTCTGACCCTCCCCTGCTCACGCTGTCTCTCTCTCTCCTAGAAATAAATAAAAATATTAAAAAAAAAAAACATTAAAAAAGGCCCCAGAGAGCTCCCTGGCCTCTTGTACCATACGAGGACACAGCCAGAAGATGCCAGGAAGAGGCTCTCACCAGACACTGAATGTGCTGGAGCCGTGATCTTGGACTCCCCAGCCTCCGGAACTGTGAGAAATGAATTTCTATTTAAGCCAGACTCCATCTGGGGGCAATTGTTATGGCAGCCTGGGTGTAGTGGGCCAGTCCTCGGATTGGCCTGTGGGAGGACCAGCTTGTGGCCAACACGCAGGGGATTCCCCTGAGGAAGCACAGGCCGGAGGATGCCTACCTTGAGGGAGAGCAACAGCCGTCCTTCCTGGGGCCCCTCTGCTGGCATCTCTGGTCTCGGAGCTGCCGCTGCCTCCTTCTCTTGACTTCGGTCACTGCAGGCTGGGTCCTGGGCATCCCAGGTGACCTTATGGAGTATGTCCTTCTCAATCATCTTCCTTCGCTCCTTTCGGAGGGCTCTGCGGTTTGCGTAGTCTGTGCCCCGCCAGGCTTGTGAGGCGGTGCTCTGGGGCTCTGTTTTTAGGTTGCCTTCCCAGAGGCAGAGGGTAGCTTCTCCCTGCGGGCTCTGGCGAGTCCCCTGGATGCCGAGCGACACAGCCCCATGGTTGCCTTCCTGCCACTTGGGGGTGTCCTCGGGCACCCCGAGAAGAGAACTGGTCTCTACAGGCCCGCCAGGGTCCCCGCCCTGCAGAGAGGCGAGAGCCTCTGTTCTTCTGCCCCACTCTCTCCAGGGCTCTGTGCCGGGCTCCACGGGCACCACACCTGGCTGTGGACGAAATGGTGTCCTCAGTGTTCTCAAACACATACTAGAGGGAATTTGTGTGTGTGTGGTCAAACATGGATGTGACATAAAATTTGCCATTTTAACCATTTTTAAATATATCATTCAGTGGCATTAAGCACATTCATAATGTGTAACCATCACCACCATCCATTTCCAAAGGTAAAAAAGCCCCAGAGAGACTGTACCTGCCCTCCCCCCAGGCCCTGGGTAACCTCCCGTCTACTTTCTGTCTTTATGAGTTTGTCCGTTCTAGATATTTCATATAGGTGGAATCACACAGTATTTGTCCATTTGTGTCCTTTGGCTTAGCTTAGTGTTTCAAAGTCCATGGAGGTTGTGGGGTGTGGGTTGATTTGTTTTTATGGACTGCATAATATTCCATTGAATGGACCATGTTTTGTTGATCCATTTCATTTGTTAGTGGCCACTTGGGTTGTTTCTACCTCTTGGCCACTGTGAATAGGCCACACAGCTATTGGGGGTGGACAAGATGAAACCCAGGCCCTCTGACCGCAGAGCAAGCCCACAGCCTCTGCCCCCATGAGTGAGTGCAGACTTTCCTGTCCCAGACTGGGAAAAAAAATTCTCCAGGACAGTTGCTGAGATAATCGTAGAAATGAAGAAAACGCAAGCTAAAGTCACATGAACATCCCTGCACCTGAACCAACCAGAGGTCTTGGCAGGCCTGGGAATTTCAGACCTTCTTCTGGGCGTGGCTGATTAAGGGGGGGATTTCCATCATGGTGACAAACATTTCTAAGATAACCCTGTGTCAGTGCTTGCACTGAGATTCCCAGAACTCTCCGCACATAACCCTTCCCTCTAAACAGCATGAGAGACTTGACCAGACTCTAGAATGGCTTCTAGCAGCATACGGCTGGGATGACCCCAGTCCATTAAAACATCTGCCTGAGAAAGCTCAGTGTTGCCGGGAGAAAGGCCTGAGAGCCTTTCCTTTAGAATGTTCTTGTCAGGAAGGACATGGCCTCTGTCTCCCCTCTCCCAGGGAGGACAGACTCCTGTCTTCCATACCTCCCAGTGAACACACCTGGCCTAGTCACACCCACACTGACCTGCTCTCTGTGATCCTTCACTTCTCTGCCCCTAGGGAGCCGTGCTCTCCCCACCCCCCCCTCCCCCGCTGTCATTCTCCATTTGAAACCCTGGTCATTAGGCACAAATCCGAGGGAGCTCAGCTCTTTCCCCGCTGTCAGCAGTTACCGAGTAAAATCTGCTTCCCCTGCTTTGATGAATGTCTGGCTGTGCTGGTCTTTGACAGCATACCTGCTTCCCCTGGTTAATGAGTGACAACTAGTCATAATAGTTACAGCAGAGGTAGGCCTGTCTCTTGGAGCCTTTAAGAAGAGCTGAACAGGCCTGACCAGTTGGGGACCTGCCCGGTGATGAAAGTCTCTTGATGGGTTCTCTTTATAAAAGCAGCAATTAATTTTAAGCATCAAGCCATTAATTTTTTGATAGAGTTTTTGGTCTTACCTGGGGCTCTGGGAAATGAGAAGAAAAGAAGATGGAAAATTTGCTCTGATGGTTGGTGATGACTAACTATGATACATGGTTATAGGGTGTGCTTGGGCATTTCTGTTTCTTGTGTTCACCTCACCTCTCCAGCCAGGGGCACCTTCTTACTTCTGAATCCCCACTGTCACCCTTATTAAATCAACAAATGTTTAAGGAGAACCGTAGTTTTTAACTGTGACTCACACTGTAGGGTCCCGTGAGAGCACGGACACCCACACCCCATTCTGCCCTCAGGGTCTCCAGCTTCGTGGATTCCCAGGACCTGCCTTCTACAGACCTCAGGAGATCCGTGGACTGTAGCAAGCCAGGCCCTGGCAGGGTCTTCAGCCAGCTCCTCCGACAGGTCTGGGATCAGGGCAGTGTGATCTCGCTGGAAGATGAACAGCTCCTCTGCCCCGCAGTCTGACTGTGGACAAATGAGAGGCCTTTTGCATTACAGGGCAGCAGGCAGAGCCAGGAGGGCTTCAGGTTCCATCTGCCTCGCCCTGCTGCTCAAGAGTGAACTGGGGAGATTAGCTTTCTTCCAGAGGCCCTTGGCCTGGCTGCTTTAGAAAGGGCTCAGCTGCACGGTCTTGTAAAGGTGAGATCCAGGGCTCCAGTTCAGCACAACCTGCCACCCCCTAAACCTTGCATATAACAGGTGCTCAGTTAACGCCTGGCACTGAATGAACAGGGCAGCGAGGTGGTAGCTAAAAGAAGAGTCCCGCTCCCCCCCTGCCCTGTAACCTTTAACCATCACATAAATGACACAGTGCCTTGGCGCCTCTAAGGGGAGAGGGTGAGTCACCAGCTCACCTTGCCAGGGTATCTGAAGATGAGAACAAATGAGGCTGAAAATGTGAAAACGTACTGGGGTCACATTATCTACTCTCCGCTAGCTTTGTCACGCACGGGAAGACAGCCGAGACCCAACAAGCTCCCTCATGTTTGTATTTGCAGGCATCCCAGGCAGGACCCAAAGCTGGCAGCTTCCTTCTAAATGCCTAGCTCCAAACTGTGAGCTTGGCACCCACTACTAAGGAGCTGCTTCACAAGGTGGAGAAGCTGGTACAGCTCATTTAAGGCTGAATATAGACTCACTCCTGTCATCCAATGTTCTCAGCTCAGTGTTCAATATCAGTCAGTAGAAACCAGAAACACCATTACCTTCATGGTGAGGCAGGGTCTGCCAGGTGTATAATGTCACAAAGGGCTTCTTGTGTTTGAAGAGGCAAAGTAGGCTGCATAAATGTTTGTTGAATGAATGTATGCCACCATTTCCATGCATCATGATAATAAGCTCTTGGAGGAATTCTCCAAGTCATCGTTTTGGGTCACTGAAATGGCCCGTGAGGATGCCGAGTATGAATAAATGTATTCAGAGGACAAAAAACAACATTATGACAAATGTAGAAGCAGATAAGCTCCAAAGCTGTTCTTGGGTCAACACTGTGCTTGCCATGGGAAGAAAGGGCGACTGGGGCCCAGGAAAACCTAGGAAGGAGGCGCTCGCTTACCAAGGAGGAATCGGAGTCCAGAGATGGGAGCTGCTCCCTGACAGCCTCAAGGATGGCACCCCACGGCCCTGCCTGGGAGGCCCAGGGACGTGAGGACTCCTCATCTTTGTCCTGGGACGCCATGGGGACCTAGGCTCCAGGGGTGCTGCTCAGCGTGCCATCATCCAAGCAGCCCTGCTGAGGACACAGGGTGAGGTGAGAGGGTTCCAGGGGCCAAGGGCCAAGAACTCAGGGCAGGGAGGTGGGAGGGAGCTGCCTTTTCAAAGCATCTACCGCCCTGCGGAGGACAGACAGACTGCCAGACCTCCCACTTGATTTCCCTTGTGGTTCTGCAGCTTCCTGTTTTAGTCACTGTGCCCACACTGTGTGTGTGAAGTACGGTGTGGAGCCTACAAGTCTGCAGTTGGCCCTTGACCAACGTGGGTTGGAACTGCGTAGGTCCGCTTATATGCAGATTCCCCCTCCCCTCCCCCCCCCAGTAAATACAGTTCAGTGCTGTAATGTATTTTTCTTATGATTTTCTTAACATTTTTTCTCTAGCTTATTTTATGTGGGACTAGAGTATATAATACATATAACCTACAACATATGTGTTAATTGATTAATGATGTCATTGGTAAGGCTCTGGCCAATAGTGGGCTATTAGTAGCTAAGTTTTGGGGGAATCAGAAGTTATATGTGGAGGGGCACCTGGCTTGCTCAGTAGAGCATGTGACTTTGGGGTTGTAAGTTTGAGCCCCACGTTGGGTGCAGAGATGACTTAAAAATCTTAAGGGGCGCCTGGGTGGCTCAGTCAGTTAAGCATCCAACTCTTGGCTTTGCCTCAGGTCATGATTTCATGGTTTGTGAGGTTGAGCCTTGCATCTGGCTCTGCACTGGCAGTGTGGAACTTGTTTGGGATTCTCTCTCTCCTTTTCTCTCTGTCCCTCCCCCTTCTCAAAATAAGTAAATATTAAAATAAAATCTTTTGTTAATGTTTATTTTTGAGAGAGAGAGTGCATGTGAGTGGGGAGGGGCAGAGAGAGAGAGAGAAAGAGAGGGAGAGAAGGAGGGAGACAGGGGATCCAAAGATGGCTCTGTGCTGAGGGTGGAGAGCCCAACCTGGGGCTCGAACCCATGAACCATGAGATGATGACCTGAGCCAAAGTTGGACCCTTAACTGACTGAGCCACCCAGGCACCCCTAAAAGAAATAAAATCTTAAACATTATCTGTGGATTTTGGACTGCATGGGGTATTGGTACTCCTAACCCCTGTGTTGTTCAAGAGTCAACTGAATGTATGTACGTAGGTGTATCTATATCTATCCATCTATGTATATCTAGATGTATATCTCTATATCTCTCTATATAGATGCATATCTCTATATATCTATACTATATAATGTAATAATACACATACATATGTAGGTATATGTATACAATAGAATGATATATGTGTATGATATATAGATTATGTAAGGTATTATATCCCAAGTAACACAGATACCATTATTATCTACATTTTATAGACTCAGAGAAGTTATATTGTTAGTAAACGTCAAAGATAAAATTTGTGGCAAAGTTAGAAGGGATTTCAAGCCCCACTACACTTTACTGCCCCCTTAAAAAGGAGCAGACACTTTAGAGTCCCCAGGAAAGTTTTTTGGAGTCATCACTCAACCTCTTATACACAGGCACTTAATCAGCCCCCTCCATCTTTTGTATTCCTTTTTTTGAAAAATGTTTTAAAATGTTTTTATTTCAGGGGCGCCTGGGTGGCTTAGTCAGTTAAGCGTCTGACTTTCGCTTAGGTCATGATCTTGCGGTTCGTGGGTTCCAGCCCCACGTCGGGCTCTGTGCTGAGTGCCAGCTCAGAGCCTGGAGCCTGTTTCAGAGTCTGTGACTCCCTCTCTCTCTGACCCTACCATGCTCACTCTGTCTCTCTCTCTCTCCTAGAAATAAATAAAAGCATTAAAAAAAAAATAAAATGTTTTTATTTCTTTCTGAGAGAGAGAGAGAGAAAGCGAGAAAGCGAGAGACAGCGTGAGCAGGGGAGGGTCAGAGAGAGAGGGAGACACAGAATCTGAAACAAGCTCTAGGCTCCGAGCTAGGTGTCAGCACAGAGCCGTCATGGGGCTTGAACCCACGAACTGTGAGATCATGACCTGAGCCGAAGTTGGACACTTAACTGACTGAGCAGCCCAGGCGCCCCCATCTTTTGTATTCCTAACAGAAGGCCTGGTTCCTCAGGGGTCAAGGTGGCTTTAGGAATGTGGGACGATGGTACTTCAGAGTCAGTGTCTGGACATGCCCTGCAGCCCCCAGATAGAGCCCACGGTGCCTACACTTCTGCCCTAGCCCTGTCTGGCTACTACTCTGTATCAGCGCCCCCATGAGCGTAGCAGCAGCAGAGGTGAGTGGTGGGGCACTTGCTTCTGCGCTCACACAACCTGGACAGGAGCTTGGTGCACCCTCAACTGTGAACAGCAGGGTGGGATGCAGCTCATACACACGTCAGGGGATGGTTTTTGGAACCGGGCTCTGTAGCGCAGACTGTAGCGTAACAGGATCACCAGAGACTCTAAGTTCTTCAGGCAGGCGAGGCAAAAGTGTAGGAAATAGCATTACAGGCTGCAGGAAGAGCATGTACCGTGGCTCAGAGGAGTGAAAATTGACCAACATGTTGGGGTAAGAAAGTATCTCCTGCTGGAATACGCGATGATGGACGGACCAGATCGCGGAGGGTCCTGAACGCCACGATGAGTTCTGCTCACCCAGGTGACTGAGGTTAACTAACGCCTAAAGCTAAGCCTTGGACCTGCTCGAGTCTCCTTCGAACCCTGAAGCAAATTCCACGTCCGTTTCTTCGCTGCTGCCCGTTGGCCCCGCCCCGGTTCCCGCCCCGCCCCCCCGCCCCGGAGCGCCCCGTTGTCATGGCAATTGGACGCCAACGGCCTCCCTGCCTGTGTTTTAAATTCTAAAGCTGGGAAACAGGAAAACACGTCGCTCGTCTTTCCACCCATCCTCACCCTCCCCCCCCTCCCCCGTTTTCCCCCGTCCCGTCCAAATCCCGACATGTACCTTCGGAGCTGCGGCAGGCCGGAGGCTACTCACTTCAGGCCTCTACCTCCCCTCTCTCCGCAGTTCTGACAGGGCTATAAACAGTTCCCAGTACGACCCTCCGGACCCGATCGCCCCCTCGGGCCGCGGCGCAACTACTGGGGCTGTCACCGCCGTTGGAATCCCCCCTCTCCAGAGTCTTATATTACTGGACTGCCAACCGCACTTTTCCCCCCGCTCTTCTTTCGGGACTTGGCGCGTCCTGCCTCTCTTGAAACAGGATTGGTTCTCTTGGCCAGCGGGGGGGCGGGGCAGGGCGAGCTCCACCTGTTGATTGGCTGCCGCAGGGGTCACACAGCGAGCCGGGCGAGCTGACCGGAAGGCTCGGGTGCGGGACGCAAGAATTCCACAGCGCCAGGAGCGCCCCGCGGCCCGGCTAGCGTCCCGGCGTGCTCCGCGCCTCCCGCAACCACTTCCGGGGCGGGAGCGGGTCCGCGGGGTCCGGGCGCTGCGGCGGCAGCCGGCGCGGAGGAAGCCCGGGCGTGCGTGGCGGCGAGCGCGCCTGGCTGAGGGAGCGCGGCGGCGGCAGCAGCGGCGGCGGCGCACCGGGACCCAGCGCAGGTACGCTCTGTGGCGGCTCGGACCCGCCTGGGGCCGGCACCTGCCGCCTGCCTGCGGGGCCGGCGCTGGGCGGCCGCGCCCGCCGCTCGGTAACCGCGTGAGTTTCTGACCAGGCTTCCGCTTCTGCAGTCTTGCAGCGGCGACGAGAGAGCCACGTGCCGTGTGGGGTTACCAGGAGGAGGCGTCAGGGGACGTCAGTGCGGTCGGGGCTGGGGGTGTTCCGGAAGGACCCTCCCCAGGGCCTGAGAACCAGGGTGGGTACCCCAGTCTCCGCGAACAGCTCCCGAGCCGGGAAGAGACGGGGGGGCCCTTGGGCTTTTGCAGACTTCCTCCCTGTGGGCGTGGCGGCCGACCGCCAGCGTCATTATTTTTTAGTTAAGGTTTTTGGGTTATTTTTAAAGTAATGAATACTAAGCAAGTATACAAATATGTGGGTGAATATACTCGTTTTATTTATAACAAATACCCCATCATTGTAAAGTATGTGGCATGCTGATAAAGTGCCGGTAGCTTTATGGCCCCCTGGCATCCCTGTTGTCCCTTCCTGGTTGTGATTGCCGGCCCTGCGGGTGTCAGACACCTGAGCCTCTAATGATGAGCCCACATAGGGGCACCTGGCTGGCTCGTTCGATTAAGCTTCAGACTCTCGGTCTCGGCTCATGACCGGCTCAGGTCATGATATAACGGTTTGTGAGTTTGAGCCCGCGTGGGGCTTGGTGCTGTTGGTCCCGAGAGTGCTTGGGATTCTTTCTCTCCCGCTTTCTCTGCTCCCCCCCCCCCCCCCCCCCCCCCGTTATTCTTTCTTTCTCTCTCTCAAAATAAATAAAGAAAATGGGAGATACCGTATGGGCTCCACCCTGGAGGAGGCATTGGAGTAAGAGACCCACCCATAGGAGGCTTGAGGGGTGTGTGGAAAGGGGCCCTGAACTGGCACTCAGCTTATTTGGGTCCTTATCCAGTATCTCTTGGCCAGGGCTGTTCAGGTTGGGGTTTCTTGCCTGCCGAGTGAGAAAGCTGGTTGATCTCTGGCCCTACCAGTGTGAGGAGGTGGTGGTGCCAGAACGCTGGGCTTTGCTCTGAACTTGTTACTTACATGACTCCATCTGGCCAAGGGCTTGCAGATTCCTTGTCCCTCAGATTGGTGGCTTGTTGGTTGTTTGGCCATCTCAGCTGTTACCTGGAGTTTGGAAGCATTCTTTAGTAGAGACAGAGGTCCTAATGGCATCTGTGAACTGCTGGAGTGCCTTTAGGCCATCCGAATGGACATGACCTTCCATTTCTTTCTTTTCTCTACTTGTTTCCTTGTTCTCTCCCACTCATACAAGTACATAGGAGACGAACGTTAGTTCTGGACCTGAGGGTTCTAATAGGAAGCTAATGGCCTGCCACTGATTTGGTTAGGATTCCCAGAATAAAGGATGCTCATAGACTCTTCATTCCGGTATAGTGGCATCTTTAGGAATGTTCCATCACCCCACACATTTTCCAGTGTATCACCCCTATCCCTGCCCGCCATCGGAATATATGGGCGGATTCCTACTCTGTTAACTTTGCTGAACACCAGTCACTTCCTAGTTTCTGTGCTGGGACTTTCTTTTCTTTTCTTTTTAAAGATTTATTTGTTTAAAATTTTTACATTAGGGGGCGCCTGGGTGGCTCAGTCGGTTAAGCTTCCGACTTCAGCACTGGTCATGAACTCAGGGTTCTTGGGTTTGAGCCCCACGATTGGGCTCTGTGCTGAGCTCACAGCCTGGAGACTGCTTCAGATTCTATCTCCCTCTCTCTCTGTTCCTCCTCCACTCACACTCTGTCTCTCTCTCCCCCAAAAATAATGATTAAAACATTTTTTTTAAATTAAAAAATGTTTACATTAAAATTCACTCGTTTGGTGTTTGGGTCTATGAGTTTTGATTAATATATAGAGTCAACGTGTCTACCAACCAACATACAGAACAGGTACATTCCCCCACATTTCCTTTGTGGTCCCCCCATTCCTAACCCTGGTCCCACTGATCGGTCGTCCAACCCTTCAGTTTTGTTTTTTCTAGAATGTCCTGTAAATGGAATCATAAAATAGGTAGCCTTTGAGTCTGGCTTCTATTTAGCACAATGAGTTTGATGTTCGTTCATATGTTGTGTGTATTACTGTGTCTATCAACTGTTTTTTCCACTACTTACTACTGAGTAGCATTCCAATATACAGCTATGCCACTGTTTACATATCCTTTTTTCCATGTGCTTTTAACAGCAGCCCCTTGAGCTATGTTCCCATTAGATAGCACAGAAGTAGGGACTGGAGATGGTAAATAGCAGAGCCAAATTTTGATATAATTCCCAAGTCCACGGTTCTTTCCCACCACACCCAAAAGTTGATTAGGCCCAGTGACCCAATTAGCATTTCTTGACTGCCCATCCAAAAGGTTGTCAGGCTTCCTGAGTTCCTGGAGAATTCCCTTTGTAGTATTGGGGCCTGAAGATTGATGAACGAGAGTGTACACTGCAGTGTATGACTCACCATATATGCTCCTTTCTTTCTCTCTGGTGATGGGCTCGCCAGTAGTAGAAGGACGGAGCTGCCCAAATCGCATAGCATTTAATGACAATTTTCTAAGTCTGTCCCAGGAGCTGACTGCACTGAGTGATGGTCTGCTAGGATAGTGACTAGCCACCTACCTCAGGTAGGAGTGTGCCCATCCTGTTGCGTTCCCTGGAACAACCAGGAAGGAACGCTCTAACCCCTGGGTATCCCTCCACAGTGATGTCGGAGCTCAGCGATGAAGCCAGTGAGCCAGAACTCCTGAACCGCAGCTTGTCCATGTGGCATGGGCTGGGTGCTCAGGTCAGCCGGGAGGAGCTGGCCGTTCCCTTGGATCTTCACACAGCTGCTTCCGTCGGCCAGTATGAAGTGGTGAAGGAATGTGTGCAGCGGTAAGAGATCTTGGGAAATGTTCCTACTTGGATTTTGAGTACCATCTCTGTGGCTTCAGATCCCAGGTAGAGCTGTCAGTGAGCTGATGGGGCCTTGCACGGAGTGGTAGACACGGAACACACCTAGATTAATCCCCAGGTCTCTCGGACAGCTGTCAGTAATGATTTAGGCTGGACGCTAATAAGGAAGTCCGTTTTTATCCCTAGGAAGAAAACGACGATTGGAACCTTTTTCATAGGCTTACGAATCATCTCAGACTTTTGTTAACTACAGTCATTTTATGGTTTTTATTAATTGCAAAAATCCTCAAACAAAACCAACATAAAGTTAGAAAGTGATTCCCTGTGGCCTCCTTTCCCCAGAAGATTCATTTTTATCCCTCGTGTCTTTCTGTCGCTATAGCTTCTACTATAGAGAGGGAGGCATTGGGGTTCATCTTCCTCCCTGGGGATCGCCACCTGACTGACTGTCACCTGCAGTCTTACACATGCGTTAATTTAGTTTTTGGAAAAGGACCAATCTCCTCACTTCCACTCTCTCACATCAATCTCATTGTTTCTGTTTTTCATTGACAACTAGAAGAAACTGTCTATGTCTGTATCTATATGTGCCTTTTTCAGTTCCTGGGGAGCCAGAGCAAAGCTTGGTTTAAGCCCTGGGTTTCTGGTTCCCAAGTCGTAGCCATCACTTAAAAATATCTGGCTAATTGAGTACAAGGGCAGCACTGTGGTAAGAGATCATGTTTTGTACTACTGTACCAGGTGGCTTTTGGAATGTATACCTGGGTACCCAGCATATTCCCTCACAGGGTCACCGAGACCCTGTTACAACTTTGCTCCTTTGGCATTCTTGGGTTTTTAAGCCTTTGGGTGTGCTGTTTAAATGCACAATCGGCAGGGAAGGGGGCGCCTAACTGGCTTGGCTGGGCATCTGACTCTGGATCAGGTCACTATCTCACAGTTTGTGGGTTCAGTCAAGCTTCGCATCAGGCTCTGTGATGACAACTCAGAGTCTGGAGGCTGCTTCAGATTTTGTTTCCCTCTCTCTCTGCCCCTCCACCTCTCTCACTCTGCCTCTATCCCAAAATGGCTTCATAGGGGATGTGTTTGTGCTCTGGTTGGGACTGTGGCCCTAGCTGACACCTAAGGATTGCTCACAGTAAGCAGACTAGGGACCTGACGGGAGTAGAGGCATCAGAAGGGAGGCTTGGTCCCAGCTGGACATGTCAGAGCCTCAGAGACACTCTGCCAAGGGCGGGGCTCTTCTCCACGTGGAATTGAGCCGTCAGTGAAGGTCATCTGCCCAGGATGGACTGGTCTCTGTGCTCTCTCCCAGCCAGTGGCTGCCACTGCATTCCTGGGATCAGGACCTTCTGGTATGGCTGCATGAGTGTCCTGGAGTCAGTAGAAGATACTAGCAAATGGAAAATAACTGTTTGGTATGGCTTCCTGTGTCCAAACGTCTGAGAGGCACAGACTGTGGGTTGACTGTCGGTTGTTACCTGCACTGGAAGCAGGGATTGTGCAAGAGGAAAGGCTGTGGGCCACGAACCATGCAGGGTGTCCTGGAAGATGATGTTTCCATGCCCCAACCCCAAACTCTGGGCTAGGAGGCCCATAATTTTTTTCTGTGGGAAACACTTTTCTAGAATTTTGATGGAAACCAATGAGAAAGATAGGATTTTCTGGTTACTGATTTTCCAAGAATGTTAATGTAGCATCGATGAGGTGACAAGGGGGAAATCTCATCCATTGTCTAAGTCTCTTCCCCATTCCTTTCCACCCATCACTGGACTCGTAGACCCTGGTCTGTTGGAAGGCAGTCAAAGCTCTAGGTCACAGTTTCTTGACCTCAGCACTCCTGACAATCTAAGCCAGATCATCCTCTGTTAGGAGGCTGACTTGTGCGTGTAGGATATTTAGTGGCATCCCTGGCCTCCGCCCACTATATGCCAGTAGCTTTTCCTTACGCAGTTGTGAACCAATAATGTGTCCAGACTTTGCCAAATTTCTCCTGGGGGGCAAGATGCCCCTGGTTGAGAACCATCTTTGTTGCTGGGGGTAGGAAAGAAGAGAATTGCTGGCCTTGGGATAGGAGGAGGGACTGATGAGAATGTGCAGTTGGAGGAGGAAGACAGTCCTCCAGGCTTTGCAGAGGCAGCTATACAGCAAACCTGACTATTCCCCCAGCCTGCCTCGCCTCCCCCACAATATCCAGGCTGGCACAGAACTCCTGGCCTCGCGGCTGGCTTTGGTAAACCTCGCATGTTAGATGGCGGGACGTGTCTAGCATATCTTGTGCTTGTTTAGGAGAGAGTTAGATTTGAATAAGAAGAACGGTGGTGGCTGGACCCCGCTGATGTACGCCTCCTACATTGGACACGATACCATCGTGCACCTGCTGCTCGAGGCGGGGGTGAGTGTGAATGTGCCGACCCCGGAAGGGCAGACTCCACTGATGCTGGCTTCCAGCTGTGGCAACGAAAGCATCGCCTACTTTCTCCTCCAGGTGAGCTCCGAGGGGACTCAGGCCCAGAAACGTGAGGGGCTCCCGGCTCTGGCAGAGATGTGAACCACTGCAGACCATGGTGTGTGTGTGCGTGCTCGTGTAATCACTTCGATTCTTGCAGCGTGACAGCCTGGAAGGCGCCTGCCCCACACAGAGGAGCTGAGGCTGTAACGAGCATTCTGTGTTCTCTTGAAGCAAGGTGCCGAGCTGGAAATGAAGGACATTCAAGGCTGGACTGCCCTCTTCCACTGCACCAGCGCTGGGCATCAGCAGATGGTTAAGTTCCTCTTGGACAGTGGAGCGAATGCCAACGTGAGGTGATGATCAGGTCTTAGGTGGTCGCTCTAAGTCTGAGGAGGGCGGCTGGGGAGGCAGCCATTGGCTGGAGTGCAGAGTAGCCCCTGACTTGGGCAGAGGGGACAGTCCTGCCCAGCGTGGGGAGCTTGAGGATAGGCTTAGCTTTTTCCTGCATCTGTCAGAGAACACTGAGTGTAGCACTTTAAGTGCTCTGAGTCTCCCTTCCTTCCTTCCTTTCTTCCTTCCTTCCTTCCTTCATGTTTGTTTATGTATGAAAGAGAGCACAAGCAGGTGAGGGGCAGAGAGGAGGACAGAGGATCTGAAACGGACTCTGTCCTGACAGCAGGGAGTCTGATGTGGGGCCTGAACTTGCGAACCATGAGATCTTGACCTGAGCTGAAGTCAGATGCTTAATGGACTGGGCCACCCAGGCGCCCCTAAGCCTGAAAACTGGGGATGGCAGTACCTGTGTCATGGAGCTGTTAAAAGAATTCCGTGATCTGTCATACATCAGGGGCCTGGCCTCGTGAATGACACTCAGTTGACATGCATTAAATGCTAATTCCTTTCTCCTTCTAGCCTTTGTCTATGTCGGGTGAGGTGATGCTTTGAAAGCAGTCATGAGTTTTATAAGCTGGAAGGGGTGTTGTCGTCTAAAGCATGTCACAGTGATAATCCCCTTTCAGCACAGCAAGTCCCAGCCCTGCACCCACCTGGCACTGTGCACATCCCTGGCTGGAGCCGGTTCTTAGGAGATACACCCACTACTGTTTCATATGCCACTGGGGAAGAAGTGCCACTGATTAAAATGTCACTTGCCTGTTGATTTTAAGATAGATTCTGGCTTCACAGATGTTGAAATGCAAAAATGGTATGTCTTATAATGGATGAAACCCAGGTTTTAGCTTGGTTCCCGTCTTCTAGACCAGTATGAAGGAAAGTGAGGGACAGAAGGCATCTGTAGGCAGCACTGAGCAACTTATAAGCAAACACAAAAATAGGCCTCAGAGAGCAGGCAAAGTAAGGACAAGGTAGATGGTTCGTCCTGGAGCTTTTGTGGGGGGTTCCTGGAAGGTGTTGAGCTCAAGGCATAGGATCTGGATAGGTAGAAGGGAGACGCCGGCTTTCTGTGTGCAGTAAAGGGCAACAGCTGCTTTTTGTTTGTAATTAAAATGGAAATTTAAGAGATGGCAGGTGGCTGGGGCACCTGGGTGGCTCAGTCGGTTGAGCGGCTGACTTCGGCTCAGGTCATGATCTTGCGGTTCGTGAGTTTGAGCTTCGAGTTGGGCTCTGTGCTGACAGCTCAGAGCCTGGAGCCTGTTTCGGGTTCTGTGTCTCCTCTCTCTGCCTCTCCCCTGCTCATGCTCTGTCTTACTCTCAAAAATAAAACTAAAATGTTAAAAAAAAAAAAGAGAGAGATGACAGGTAGAAGCAGCTTAGGAGAGATTATTGGGGGCACCTGGGCAGCTCATTTGGCTAAGCATCCAACTTTTGGTGTTGGCTCAGGTCATGATCTCATGGTTGTGAGATTGAGACCCCTCTCAACATCTGCACTGACAGTATGGAGCTTGCTTGGGATTCTTTCTCTCCCTGTCTCTCTGCCCTTCCCCTGTTCTCTGTCTCCCTCTTTTTTTTTTTTTTTTAAAGTTCATTTATTTATTTTGGGAGATAGTGTGAGTGGCAGAAGGGCAGGGAGTGGGAGACAGAGAATGCCAAGCAGGCTCTGTGCTGGTAGCACAGAGCCCGACATGGGACAAATAAACTTTAAAAAAAAAAAGGAGTGTTGTTTGGGAGACATTGTCTTTAGGGAAAAAGACTAGAGCTGGGGATAGAACCAGAAGAGTTTATGAGGCTGATGTGTTGATGTGAACTTTTCTCATGTCTCCCCGTTGGTTCTGGTGAGAAGGAGACCTCTGTGTTTAGGGAACGGTGACTTGCACCAGCTTGGTTTTGTCTGCAGCAGGGAAGCTTCTGTGTGGCGAACTTCTCTCCACTAATTGTCTGACCATGGCCTCTATCTCGTAGGGAACCAATATATGGATTTACTCCTTTGATGGAAGCAGCCGCCGCTGGCCATGAAATAATTGTGCAGTATTTTCTCAATCATGTAAGTGACCCTGTTTATTAGCTTATACTTTAGTTACAGCAGGTGAGGAATCCTATCCTTGAAAAGCTATAAGAGGATTTCTGCAGCACGGAAATAGCTGCTTTCTATTTATTGAGCACATTTTCATTGTATCTGTTGATGGCCACGTATTGTGTAGCATTCGGATAAAGTGGTGAGTAAAAATAGACACCTATTCTTGTAATAAATTGGAAAATGCTATTATTTCAAAACTGTGGAAAATATATTTTAAAAAGTAAATAACTTGTCTCATTACTTAAAAACATTAGAGTAAGAATGCTAAGATTTCCTCCCTTTTCAACCACCCCCTGCTTCTCCTCAAGATGCCCATTTGGTTTGAGACTCCCAGACTCCTCTGCTTCGGACAGTGTACCTGTAGACAAGTACAAACGCAGTGCTTTTCGTTTTGAGCGGAGTGGGATTCTACTGTGTGTTACTCTGCAGCTTTTAGAAGATCACTTCATATGCACTACACATTTTTTCTTTCTACAGTATATATGGGTGTAATTAATCAGTTCCATAGTAGTTGAGAGTTAGGTTTCTTACATTTTACAGTTACAAACAGTGCTCCGGAGACTGTCCCTTTACAGGGAACTTCAGTGGGCATGCAGGTATTTCTGTATGTTGTGTTTCTGTAGGAGGGATTGCTGGCGCTCATATGTTAATCTTTTTTAATGTTTTTTTCTTTTTTATGATTGATTTTGAGAGAGTGCAAGCTGGGGAGGGGTAGAGAGAGACGGGGACAAAGGATCTGAAGCAGGCTCTGCACTGACAGCAGCAAGCCTGATGTGGGACTTAACTCACAAACCATGAGATCATGATCTGAGCCAAAGTCGGAAACTCAAGTGACTGAGCCACCCATGTGCCCCAACTCCAACATTAAATTGTAAATCAAAACTACTGAGATGTCTGTAATGTAAAAAGACAGACAATAATAAGAGTGGATGAGGATGTGGACAGTTGGAAGCCTCACACACTGCTGACAGGAATGTAATATGATGCAGCCTGTTTGGAAAACAGGCTGGCAGTTTCTCAAACAGTTAAACATAAAGCCACTCTCCTAGGTATCAATCCCAGAGGATTGAAAAGAGGTCCACGCAAACAGTTAAACACAATGTCCATAGCAGTGTTATTCACGGTAACCAAAAGATAGAAATCCACATGTGCATCAGCTGAAGATGGATACGTAAAATGTGGTCTTTTCACACAACAGAATATTATTCAGCCATAAAAAGGAGTGAAGTTCTGCACCTCTTACAACATGGATGACTGTGAAAATATTATGCTCAGTGATAGGAGCCAGACACAAAGGACCACATATTGTATGATTCTTTATGTTTGAAATATCCTGAACGAGCAGATCTGTAGAGATAGAAAGTAGATTAATGGTGGCCTAGGGCTGGCAGCAGGGGGTGGGAAGGGATGATCAGAGATGGGAATATTGTGGAGAGGGTAATAGTTAAGGGGTACAGGATCTCTTTCCAGGGTGAGAAAAATGTTCTGAAGTTGATTGTGGTGATGGCTGCATGCTTCTGACTTATACGCTGTAAGTGGGTGAATCATGGTATGTGAATTGTATCTTAATAAAGTGTTTAAAAAATTCCAGCAGGAGAAATAGAAGTCCTCACAAATTCCCACTGAAAACATTGTCTGTGTTGCTTCCCCACCAGTAATACGTGAAGGGGCCCACTTTCTCATGTCTTCACCAGTTCTGGAAGTGACTCGTCTTGAGTTTTTGCCAGTGTGGTGGGAGACACGGGATATCTCGTTTAGGTGTACTTATTAGAAAGGTTGAACATTTAAAGATGTATTTATTGGCCATTTGTGTTTATTTTATGAGTTTTATCTATTTTGGGGGCCCAGTTTATTAGATAGTTTTTGTTTTACTTACTCATTGGTAGCAACTTGAACATAATAAAATGTGAATATGTTGTTTTTCTCTGAAAAAGAGTTTGGGGACAGTACACTTAACACAAGACAGGGGTACAGGGAGCCTGTCTGCCCCCTTTGCCTCAGTCTCCTGCTCTCTTTCCACAGCTGCTTCTCAGCTTGCTTTTTTCTTGTCTTAACTGTTTGAGAGATTGTTCTGTATTAGTGTATGTTAAGCTCTCTCATCTCTCTCTTTTCATGGCGGCACAGCACTGTCTTGTAGGGATGGATCAGAGATTTAACAGTGGTCTGTGGATGGAATTAGGTCATTGCCAACCATTTGCTGTCACACACAGTGCTGTGGAGACTTTCTGCACGTACATCCCTGCACACGTGTGTGACCACATCTGTCTGGTTGAGTACTGAAGGTAGAATTTCACGTGGAGTGTAAGTACAGTCTTAACATAGGTGTTGCCCACTTGCCATCCGAAGAACAAACTGTACCCACTTACAGTGTCTCCACAGCAGCAAGAATTATGAACCTTACATTTTTATTATTTTTGAGAGAGAGAGAGAGAGAGAGACAGAGTGTGAGTTTGGGAGGGGCAGAGAGAGAGGGAGACACAGGATCTGAAGCAGGCTCCAGGCTCCGCACTGTCAGCACAGAGCCGGACACGGGGCTGGAATCCACCAACCGTGAGATCATGACCTGAGCTGGAGTTGGATGCTTAACCAACTGAGCCACCCAGGCACCCCTCTTTTCTTTAATTTTTTTTTTTTTATGTTTGTTTATTTTGAGAGAGAGCATATGCAAGTGGGGGAGGGGCAGAGAGAGGAGGGGACAGAGAATCTTAAGTAGGCACCACACTCAGCACAGAGCCCGCTGCAGAGCTTGATCCCACAGTTGTGAGATCAAGACCTGAGCTGAAATCAAGAGTCATATGCTTAACTGATCGAGTCACCCAGGCGCCCCTTGAAGTACTTTCATGATACAGAAAAGCACAGAAGATAAATCAAATACAAGCCCACATGATCCTGAGGTGACCTCTATCCAGATGTTGGTCTGTACCTTTCTGTCCCTGAGTATATACTTTCATCATGCACTGTGTGACCTTAAGGAATGCACAGGTTGTTTTATATATTTTAAAGATATATGTAAATAACATGTTGGATTGTTAAGTGTCACACAAGGGAGGTACTCTGGTACCTGGAGATACAGTTCAATAAAAAAAAATTTTTTTTAATGTTTTTATTTATTTTTGAGAGACTGAGACAGAGATAGCATAAGCAGGGGAGGGTCAGAGAGAGAGGGAGACACAGAATCTGAAACAGGCTCCAGGCTCTGAGCTAGCTGTCAGCACAGAGCCCGATGCGGGGCTCAAACTCACACAAACTGTGAGATCATGACCTGAGCTGAAGTCGGATGCTTAACCGACTGAGCCACCCAGGCAGCCCATAGTTCATTCATTTTGACAGCTCTGTGTGTATTGAACATATGAGTATTTTACATTTATCCATTCCTTCCTTAGTGGACATTTAAGTTGTTTCCACTTTGCCAATCCTGACAGGGCTGTGGTTCTCATTTTTTACCTGTCTTCTCAAGCATGTGTGAAGGAATTTTAAAGAAATCAGAGTATATTCTTCAAGTAGAATTTTTTGTGTGTAGCGTGGGTGACTCTTCACTAGACAGTATTAACTGACTTTCTTGATTAATGTTCTGATTGTTCTAGCTCCCATCCCTCACTTCCTGAATAGCACTTGGTACCTGCTCTCAGACGAGCTGGTTCCTATTGATTTTTGCCTGTCTCTGATTTCTGGTGAGGTGCATTGTTTCATATGTTTATCAGCCATTTGGACTTTCTTTTCTGCAAATAATTATTCTTTGAAGATAATTCCACTTACATGGACTAGGCACCCTTAAGACCTAGCAGCATAGGGTCAAGAATAGAGGAGTATGAGCTCAAACCTGTAAAAAGCATAACCTCTGCTTCTGAGTTTAGAGTTTGATTTTAAATAAGGTAGAACTGGAAGTCATGAGACATTCATATAATATTTTAGGTGGAAAACATTGGAAAATCAGAGACCTTAGATAATTTATCTACTGTGCAGATCATGCCCCTCGTTTGGTACCTTTATTCCCCAGCTGGGTGTGAGATTGTGTGTTGTGGGCAACTTGTATTGAGGGGCAACAAACTGAATTGGATTTCTTTTGGAAATTTTTTGAAATTTTGAAATAACTTCAGACTTAAATGTCAAAGTAATACAAAGAATTGACGTACCTTCATTAGATTCCCCAAATATTAACATTTAATCTCGTTTTCTTGATCAGTCTTTCTTTATATACATATTACCTTTTTAGAACCATTTGAAAGTAAGTTGCTGACATAATGCCCTTTTCCCCCCTTAGTACTTTAGTATGTATTTCCTAAAAACAGTTTTGTCTTTCGTAATCACATACTATGATCAAACTCAGGAAATCAACTGTGAGTTCTCCCTCTAGAGCATTAATCAGAAATAGAAGGTGTTGGTCAATTTGTCATGATTGCTTTGTGGCTGCGGGGGGCAGGCACGGCCAGGAGTGTGTGACTGATGGCCCAGGTTGTTCCTCTGCTGGAGAGGCTGTGTGGCTATCCCTGCATAGATGCTCCTTTGCTCCTCATTCCCTGAAGATTTCCTTCTGCCCAGTAATGGTTAGATCTCAGGGAACCAGAGGGGCGGGCTCCAGAGCCAGTCCCCAGTCCTGGAGACAGAACCGCATGAGGCTGTACACCTCGTGCTCTGCGAGGGCAGGAGAGGGGTGTAGCTGCCTCCCTTGTACTCAGTTCCCCTTCTTCCTGGGTGGGCCAGGCTCTCACAGCTGCATCAAGGCAGGATGGTCTGGGCATGATTAGGTTAGGTTAGATCAGATTAGATTAAGAGAGCTGAGGTGATGCCACGGCCTCCACGTGATAAGTGCGCCGCCATCCTCTTAGGACGACAAAGGTTTGATCACGTTTTCCTGTCAGTGAGAAGGAGTTTTGATCACGTACTTCTCTAGTAATATGTACATTATGAAATAGGAAGAAAAACCCCCAAAATGTAACGGATAAATAAACAAATTCTAGTATTTTCTTCCCTTACCTCAGGGACCTTGTTCTCGATTCTGTTTTCTTCCTCATTTACTTATTAAGGAATAGCATTACTGCCTTTTCCCCTTCACTATAATCTGAGGTTGAAGTCTTCCAGGCTTAAAAACAGATGATAGTTGGAACCCTATGGTAAAGATGGTGGTGTTTGTTTTGGTTGAAACGTTTGGGTTTTTCTATCAAATTGAAACTAGAAAGTCTCCCTCTTCCCCTCCCCCAATTTCATTGGGTAGAACCGACAGACATCCCTGTATAAGTTAGGGTGTGTGGTGTAGTGATGTCACTTACATGCATCGCGAAGTGATGACCACGTTGTATTTGGGGAGTGTCCACATCTCATGTAGACATGGACACAGAGATGGATTGTTTCCTTGTGAGAACTCAGGACTTACTCTCCACAACTTCCATATATATCATATGGCAGTGTTCACTTCACTCATCATAAATTTCTTATAGTTGGAAACTTGTGCCTTTTGACTACCTTCATTCTGTTTCCACTTCCAGACCCATCTAGAAATGATCTTTGAAGGCCGAAGTTTTAATAGCTGATTTCTAACCAGAGAGCTCTTGAAAGTAAGGAATTACAGAAAGTAAAACTCAGTTATGGTCTTGTGAAAATGGAGTTTTGTCCTACCAGAGGACATGTGATAATCACCTTTTATGCTAGGCTCAACCGAGCCTGTCAGTTGATCATGAGTTTTCAAAATAGGGCAGAAGATTCCATAAATAAATGTTTATTGTACAGTGATAATATCTTATAAAAGAATTAGCACAGTGATGCAAAAAGAAATCCAGAATTATTCATAATCCCATCACCCAGATATCACACATGTTAATAACTCATTGAGTATCCTGATTTTTTTTGTAAGTTGATTTATGTGTTTTGAAAGAGAATCCTAAGCAGGCTCTGTGCTGTCAGCACAGAGCCGATGCAGAGCTAGAACTCATGAACTGTGAGATCATGACCTAAGCTGAAGTTTGAACACTTAACCAACTGATTCACCCAGGTGCCCCCTCCTGTTTTTTCTTAAATAAATATTTTAAGTTAAAGTGGAGTCCCACTATACAGAATGTTTTGCAATACGCTTTTTTGTTCTCTTAATGGGGTCTTGTGCACCCCTGTCCGTGTCAGTACGTGCATTTGGATCTGTCATATAAATGGAGGACTGGTGTTCCACTTGACAGATCTCACTTAGTTCGCTGATTCCTGATTTTAGGCTTTTCCGTGGTTTTGACCACGATGAAGGCTGAGGGGGATATCCTAAATGTTAGTGTATGTCCTTAATTTTTTCCTGAGGCTAAATTCCTGCAAGCGGAATTGCTGGTCAGAGGTGTGTGCACGTTTAACTTCTGCTGGTTTGTCCTGCGGAGCACTGAGCTCCACCATCATCCACCAACCAGACTGCTTGGTTGAAGCTTTTAAAATGGAAAGCTCATCTTTTGTACTTTTAAAGTAAGCTGCTCATGAATAGTGAATTTAGAAAATAGAGAGGATTAGGAAGATGGGGAAAATCCCCTTATCCTACTGCTTAGAAATAATATTAACAGTTTGGGCACACTTGCTTCTGGTGTTGATATCTGTATTCATTTTTTGTTTTGCCTTGTTTTGCTGTTATTATAATGTAGATATAGCTTTGTATCGTGATCTTTTTTTTTTTTTTTTTTAATGTTTACTTACTTTGGGGGTGGGCAGAGCACGAGCAGGGGAGGGGCAGAGAGAGGGGGAGACACAGAATCCAAAAACGCTCTGTGCTGACAGCTCAGAGCCTGACACGGGGCTCAAACCCATGAACCTTGAGATCATGACCTGAGCCCAAGTCAGACACTTAACTAACTGAGTCACCCAGGCACCCCTCCCAATAAATTATTTTTTAATTCAGGTATATACATTTTTTTTCTTTTGTTTTTGTTTTTTTCAGAGAGAGAGAGAGAGCGCGCGAGAGCGCACTGAAGGAGGAGCAGAGGGAGCGGGAGAGAGAGAATCTTGGGCTTCACGCCCAGTGCAGAACCCAACTTGGGGCTCCATCTCACAACTGTGAGATCATGACCTGAACAAAATCAAGAGTCGAACTCTTAACCAGCTGAGCCACCTAGGCGCCCCTATGTTGTTTTTAGACGTAGTGCTGCTGCACACGTGATAGACTACCATGTAGTGTCAGTATAGCTTTCACATGCACTGGGAAACCAAAACACTCACTGGACTTGGTTTGTTGGGATACTTTCTTGCAGCAGTCTACCCTTGCACCTGCAGTATCTCTGAGGTTTGCCTGTATAAGGTATATATTTTCATGACTTTTTCCTTAAGTTTACTTACTTATTTTGAGAGAGAGTAAGCAGGGGAGGGCAGAGAGAGGAGAGAGTGTCAAGAATCAGACAGTCAACTGACTGAGCCACCTAGGTACCCCTATATTTTCATGATTTTAAAAAATATACAGGGGGAGTGGGAGGCTCAGTCGGTTGGGTCTCCAACTTCAGCTATGGTCATGATGTCACAGTTGGTGGGTTTGAGCAATGCATCAGGTTCTGTGCTGACAGCTCGGAGCCTGGAGCCTGCTTCAGACTCTGCGTGTCCTTCTCTCTGCCCCTCCCCCACTTGTGCACTGACCTCGTGCTCTCTCTCTCAAAGAATAAATAAACTTAAAAAAAATATATATATATATAAATGAAAATAGTATAAACTACAGGCTTAAAAAAAGCCAAACAATAAAACTTAGAGGAAAATCAATAAAAGGTTTAGGAATAAGCATTAAAAAGAAAACCTATGTAGTTTTCTTACACTTCTCCATCCCAGAGTGTTAGAACTATGAACAGATTTCTACGTAAGGGAGTCCTGCTACATAAATGGGAGACATAGACTTCTGCAGTGTGTTTTTCAGTGTTAGCAAAATATCACAAACTTGCTTCCACATCAGTACAGAGAAACCTGCCCATTCTTTCTGATCCAGCACTTGATAATATTGGTATGCCTTAATTCATGTAACCATTCACACATTAATGGGTATATTTGTTTCCTGTGGCTGCTGTTAACAATTTAACATAAACTTGGGGGGCTTAAAACATAGAAATTTATTTTCTCACAGTTATGGATGCCAGAAGTCCAGGATCAAGGTGTCAGCAGGGCCAAGTCCCCTCCAAAGGCTTCAGGGAGGAATGCTTCCTTTCCTCTCTGAACTTCTGGTTGCTCCTGGTGTTTCTTGGCTTGTAGATGCATCATTCCAGTCCCTGTCTCTGTCATCACATGGCTGTGTCCCTGTCTTCTTTTCCTCATAAGGACACCTTATAACTTGTATGTTGTAAAGATAGACTATTGTCCTTTCAAAAACTTGGCTATACCAAGTATTTGTAAATACCAGCATTTATGGCCATAACATAGCTGACTCTTCCCCTGTTTACAGTGTCCCCAGGGTTTTGTTACAGCAGATATGTTCTACCAAACACCTGTGTCATACAAGCTTTCTCTTTTATTTGGGTAATTTCCTTAGGAGAGAGTCATAGGAGTGGAATCGATTGTGCGAAGACTAGAAGTACATTTTAGGGCTTTGGCTAAAAATTTCCAGAGTCTTCTTCAGAAGGATGGTGCTGTCGTTGTGATTATGACTTTTAAAAGCTGCTTCCCTAGTGAAGCTGCTGTCTGCAGTTTTCTCTGTGTGGAGAGAAATGGAGCGAGTTGGACATGCCCACATTCGAAGGGTGAAGGTCGGGCTCTGGCTCCAGCACCTGCAGGGCACCCCTCCCCGTGTGAATGTGTCCTTCCCCACCTGGGGCACGTGCCAGGCTCTCCCTTAAGCACCTGCCCGTCTGGCTGGGAAAGCCCACGAATGAGGCTGAGGAGCTGCCAGGACTCTCTGGTGGCTACACTGCTGCCAGCGAGCCCCTCCCCAGGGGCCCCCACCTTGTCCTTAAGGTGCCTTCTCTTTCTCATATAGATGTGGGGTTGTTGAGGGGCCAGGGCAAGACCTTTCCAGGGTGGTGAGAAGCCGGTGCGCTCCCTGGCCACGGTCCAGTGTCTGCACCAGGGAAGCTATGGTGCTTTACGGGGGAGGTTCCTAGCGCTTGTTCTTTCATGAACTTTCACAGGGAGTCAGAGTGGACACGAGAGACCACAGTGGAGCCACGGCCCGGATGCTGGCCAAGCAGTATGGACATATGAAGATCGTGGGGTTGATAGACGCTCACTCGCCTCCTCTGCCCAAGAGCCTCTACCGGAGCCCAGGTACCTACTTTTGCGCCCTCTGCTGGAGTTCCGCGGGGGGGGGGGGGGGGGGGGGGGGGAGGGAGAAAGACCCCCGCCCCCGCAGCCCTGCCAAGAGACCTCTGCGTTCCCCGTGACTCCACTCTGCAGTCAAGGTTGAGGCTTGCTGGTCTGAGAGGAGAGACACGGTAGAGTGTAGGGTGGTTCCTGCCAGGCCGAAGGTGTGCACAGGATGCCAGGTGCCCAGGGAGAGGCGGCACGGCGGCCTCACAAAGGGGATTGCTTTCAGTTGTTTCTGCACTTTGCTTGTGGGGCTTATTGCTATGTGAAATATCTTAATTTTATATAGTCAAATTCATCAGTCTTGTACTGCCTTTAGATTTGGGGTCACAGAACATCTTTGTGCCTTGGTTGTCTAAGAATTTGCCTGTTTTCTTCTGGTACTTCCATGGTTTCATTTTTTATATTCAGTTTTTTGATCCATTTATACTTTATTGTCATGCGTGGTGGTGTGACGTGTGGCTTTTTTCAGATGGCTTTCCCATTGTTCTGGCTTCATGAAATTATTTAACAGTCCGTCTCTGACCTGGTGATCTGAGAAGCTATCTTTGCTCTATATTCTGAATTTCCGTTTGTGCCCATGTCTTTTCTGGACCTCTGTTGTGTACCCCAGGTCTGTGTGTCCACACAGCAGACCCATGCTGTTGTAAATTTGCAGAGGCTTTTTGCCTCTCGTTGGGCCAGTCCCCCTGCAGCCTTTCCTTTTCAGCATTCCGTGGCTATTGATGTTTTGTGTGTGTGAACTTGAACACCAACTTGGATAGCTGCTTAAAAACAGCATGTTATTGAGATTGTGGCAAATTTATAAATCAACTACCCTTTCATGCTTTTGAGTCAGACTCTATAAACAGGGGACCTCTTTTGTTCATGTGTGCTTTTGTGTCTACAGGAGGGTTTAAAATTTTTCCTCATAGACATTTTGCATAGAACTTGTTTTTTATTCCCAAGTGCCTGATTTTCTTTGTTGCTGTTGTAAGTTGGGTCTCACTGCTGCTTGATGCTCTGCTTCTTGTCTGTGAGGAGGAAGGCTCTTGGTGTCTGTATCCAACTTCATATTCTGCTGCCATTCTGAATTCTTTCGTTGTTCAAATTATTGATTCTGTAGGGTTTTCCAGGTATGCTACCATATAATCTGCACATAGAGATAGATTTACTATTTCTTTCTGATTTTTGTACCTCTGGTTTCTTTCATTTAGTTACATTGGCTACTACTTCTCGTAAAGGTGTTGAACATAGTGTGAATAGTGGGCTTTCACCAGGTCCTGACCTTAGCGGAAATGCCACCTTAGGTAAGACACTGATTCTAAGAGTAAGGTGTGCATATATTTTATCGTGTTGAGAATTTGTCATTTTCTATATTCCTGAGTATTTTTTACAGCCATGAGTGTTGAATTCTGTCAAAGGCTTTTTCAGCATCTATGGAGATGATTATTAATTTTCTCCTTAAATCTAATAGAGTATATTAATGAATTTCCTAATAATGAGCCAACTTTACTTGCTTGGCAGAATTCTCACGCGGTATATTATTTTCTTACTGTGATGTTGGACTCTGTTTTCTGGTATTTTATTTAGTGTTTCTGTAAGGCTGTTCATTTATAAATGGTATTTGTGATTTTCTGTTTTATCTTTAACAGGTGTAGGTGTCAATATGGTACTTCATACAAAGTATGTGAAAGTTTTCCTTTTTGTCTCTGGAACAGTTTATGCAGCATTGGTACCCCGTGGTGGTATGTGTTTTTTTTGTTGTTGTTTGTTTGTTAATTTTCTTTTTAATTTATTTTAGAGAGAGAGTGTGAGCAGGGGAGGGGCAGACAGAAGGGAAAAGAGGATCTGAAGCAGGCTCTGCCCTGACAGCAAAGAGCCGGATATATGGGGCTCAAATGCACGAACCGTGAGGTCATAACCTGAGCTGAAGTCAGAAGCTCAACCGAGTGAGCCACCCAGGTGCCCTGTACCCTCTGGTTTGTGAAGATTTGGAAGGATTCTCCTGTGAAACCATCTGGGCCTGGTCCCTCTTTGTGAGGTGGCTCCTGATGTTTTTCTGGTTTTCTGCTTAAGCTTTCTCACTTCACAGGTGCCAAGTTTGGTAAACTGTACTTTCCTAGGAAATGCTTTCATTTCAGGATTTCAAACTTACTTAGATAGATGTCTGCAAAATTGTTTTTGTCTGCATCCTTCTAAAAAGTTTCAGTGGTTATTTTCCCATGTCATTTTCCATCTTGCCTGTCTTCTGTCTCAGTCCTGTCTCTTTTTTGATCTCATTCATTGTTTGGTGATTTTCTTACTTTCCTGAAGTAGTTATTTTCCACCCAAATCTCTTCTTCCTTGAGCACCTAGTAACTGAGTCTTCATTTAAAAATTTTGACTTTTAGTGTTTACGTGTTTGTGTGTGTGTGTGTGTTTTTAAGATTTTATTTTCAAGTAATGTCTGTGCCCAATGTGGGACTCAGACTCAACAACTCTGAGATCAAGAGTTGCATGGTCTACCAGCTGAGCCAGCCAGGTGCCCCACTGACCTTGGTTTTTCACTTATTTCCTGGGTTCAGTTTTCCTTTCTCACTGTTGTGTGCGCATGCCTGTGTCTTTTTGGTCTCAGTTTTGGATTTCTGAGTCAGGATGCTTTTTCCTATCCCATGATGCTTGATTAAGGATATACCCCCCTTTGGGGCTCCTGGGGCACTCAGTCTGTAGAGCATCCGACTCTTTTTTTTTAATAGTTTATTGTCAAGTTGGTAGGGCATCCAACTCTTGATCCCAGGGTTGGCCCACATTGAGCAGGGAGCCTACTTAAAACAAATTATCCTCTCAGAGCATCACAGAGTGTTAAGAGTTTTCTCATCTCCTCCTTTATGGTGGTGGTTTGAGGGACTAGCATATTCCCACGCTGGTGTCCAGCCCCTGTCTCTGCCTCCTCCCTGGAGTAGCTGTGCGCACGGATCGCCGTAGCCCTTCACCTCCAGGGCTTGGTGGCCTGGCCGCAGTGAGGGTCCTGCTTCAGGACTCCCTTCTTCCCAGTGTCTCAGGGGGAGTCCTTACTGGATGGGTTTATTTCCTGTGGGTTTTATTTGGAGGCGGATGTAGTTAGGCCAAGCCAGAGTCCTTGATGTGCTTTTATCTTGTCAGATCCTGAACTTCCCCTGCTCGCTTTTTCTGTTCACTGTTCAGTTTCCATAAGGTGCTTCCCAGAAGTGGGACCGTTCTGCTCCCTGACGTCCCACGTGCAGTTTGAAGTTGCTTCTCCGGGGCTGTGCTTCCCTTAGCCAGGACTCTTCAGTATTCCTGCTACAGAATGGACTCTTTTTGGCAGCAACGCTGGCTCTTCTCTCCCCTCGTCTCTCTTGGGGTGCGGCTTTTTTCTAGATCTACTTGCTCCCTGTGGAGGCTGCGTGAGCAGAAAGTCTCTTCGAGAAGAGAAGTGGGTGTGTCTCCACTTGACAGAGCAAGGAAGGAGGGGATCAGGGGTGCTCTCTCCTGTCCAGTTCTGTGGACGGGTGGGGATTGCTTGGCTCTGTCTGTAGTCCCTGCTGATTTGTCAGGGTTAAGAGGATGTGCTGGGGGCAGGTGCACATTCACAGAGCTGCCTTTGCCTTGCTTATCCCCCCTCTCTTGCCCTTTTATTCCTTATGACTCCTCCATCTACTGCCTGGGTGGGACCACACAGTCTCCTGGTGGCATCGACCCTGGAGGGCAGAGAGTGAGCTGAGTGGGGGAGAGAGATGATGGCAGCCTGGGGTCCCTGGCCACATTTGGATCCAGAGTCAGTAACTCCCTTGCTCGTAGGCTGTCGCTGCCCTGAGCTGTCCACATGCTGAACTGTACTGCTCCTCTCCCACAGCCTGGCTCAGCCTGGCCTCCTGATGAGCAGGGAAGGGCAGTGTCGGGGAGGGGCTCCTGTGGCATTTGAGCCCAGGGTACCAGCCCAAGAGTGAGGTCTTTTTTTTTTTTTTTTTT